AGAGTAGACAAAATTCAGAAAGAAATAAAACTTTGTTGATGTATTTTAAGACGTAGTCTAAAGTTTATTTGAAGGATGCAAAGATTGTGAAATCCGAAAATACTAGTTTTTCAAATTCTAATCACCCAGTCACTTTTGTATAACTCTGAACATAACGCGAGATATGCAATTCGAAAATATGTGGAGTGGAAACTGCATTGACAGATCTGGAAACTGCGTTAACAGATCTGGAAACTGCTAGTACAATATGTTATCTAGAAACGTCACAAAACGATCACGCTAACTGGCCAAATGGGAAAAAATGGAACATCTGAACGTATGCCCTGGTTGTCTCTCTGATCTATCTATCTTACAGTGGTCAATAAATGAAACCTAAGATGGTGAATATACTGATTTCCTGACGTTTAGGCTGCTTCGGCAAATTAAAAATGTTTACTCCTCCATCTTAAAGCCGTTTTACTTCGCACGCCAGTTATGTTTTTAGGTCTTATATGAGAACTACATCACGAAAAACTATATCACACATTTGTGTTTGTCGGTCTGCTGATCCTTTGCCCGTCTATGACTTGAAAATTACCCCTCGGATTTATATGAAATTTTACTTTCAGGGGTTCCTAATCGTTGTCATAAAAAATTGTAGTGCTTAAAAAGTGGAGGTTAGGGGAAGCTGATATTAAATGTTGCATCTTTGATATGTGAAACACCTTCTATTATTAAGAAGCTTCGGATCCCAGTAAGTGACGATTTGAAAAAATCGGTACCTGCGCTATACGTTAGACACCGAGAGCCAACAGATCTGCAACTGCCGACACTAGGGAAGAATAGACTCGGGGATTATTAGGGCTAGATCGCCAATCGAAATCCGACTCTGTTATTATGGAAAATTACCCCGGTACGCGCTTGTAGTTATCCTTTCCTTTTTCAAAGTAGCCCCGACGACCTTCTAAGACCAGCCCACTGACGTTTCCTTTTCATTGCCCCGTTACCCCAGGAGATGGTCCTCGTGATCGTAGGAGCCGCGTTAACGAACTTTAACTATTCATGGAAAAAATTCTAATTTCAGGGAGAAACTCACACCGTGAACGACAGGCTTTGTTTTGAGTTGAGGTGCACGAATAGCTTTAGATACGAACGTACGAACACTGCAGAACCACTCAATACAGTAGCGCAACAACAGCATAAGACTCATACGCATACGCAGCATACAAACGGGTATAATTATCGTGCTCACCTCGTATGCACGCCACAAGCTCCTATGAGAAACGCAAAAGGGCACGCCGTATCGCAACGCCGATAAAACATTATGGAACATGGATTATTTATTCGGTCCGCTGTATTCTAGCCGCAAGTACAATTGTGGAATCAGCTTTTGGAGCTACCTTCACGTGCATCCCAAAATGCGACCTCATAATTCATTGGGTAGATATTTGAGTCCTAGGCCGAACAGTTCGGCCTGGAGGCACACTCGAAGTTTATGTTTTTTACATTTTCACTAAGTCTCTCCCTGTAATGCATTAGCCCCCATTATATGATTATTTAAAAACTCAATTTGTCCAGGAATTGGAAAATGACCTCTCCATTGCCATGTTATCATTCGTTCAGTCAAATGTGATGTTTCCAGTATTTTATTGGTTTGAGAATTCGCATGCCTCCCGAAACAAAACATTCACAATTTTTTTTCGTAACGAAGAGAACCCAACCTATCGGCCCATGCATATAAGCTGAATTTCGCATTCGGGCCTTTATGTCAGTTAATAATCTGGAAAAACCTCATTTGACTATTGACCTCCCGAAAAAACGTGACACATCACAATTTGGAAGACACTTTTAATTCCTTGGACAATCTTACTTTAGATGATCATATATTAAGAGCCTAATACTTTTCAGGAACAGAGTATCAAAAAAAAAATGAAAACATGACAAAACGCTAAAATTTATATTTTTCTAATTAAAATTTGAACTGCTTCTTCTAGACCGAACCGTTCGATTCAGATCCCTAAAATTTTACAAAACTTCATGTATCCAGAAAAATTTTTTGATCTATACTTTGCATGGGTCAGAACGTATTTCTGAAAAAACTGTGATCCTCAATTCCTATGGGTCAGTGCATTTTTCTTATAGGGTCCATTTCATGAAGTGGTGAGGATCCACTAATTCAAATATTTTTGGTGCCAGCTAGGCAACGTTTTGCTTCTTGGGTAGGTACTGATGAAATTATTAATGAAAAGCTTTTTCGAAATGATCCATCAGCAGAAGCATTTTTTTCTAGTCCAAGTCTGTACATTTTACATGCACACATAAAAAGTATTCAGATAAAAGCAAAATATTTAACAGATAAAACAAAAGTAGAGCCAGAAACTAAAAAGGCATGGTCGTAAAAAATGTGCATTTTACTACTTGTTTTACTTCGATTATTTTTTTATCAAGATGGCCGCCCTAGCTGGCAATGCTTTGGAGTAATCGTCTGTCTATCTCTGATCTTTAAAGCTACAGGACAAAACGGGATTATCTGTGGAATTTGTGATTTTTTATATTATACAATTAAAACGTAGAACATGCCTCTCAATGCTCCATGCCAGACTTAGAAGTATAGTTATATTGTATATAGTTACTCATATCTACTATACCTTAGTACCAAAAAAATAATGTAAAACTTACCAAAAAACGTACTCAAACAGTTTATAGTACTGAGAATAGAAATAGTTTATAAATGTAACGCAAAACCGCAAAAAAAGACTAGACACTCTAAGCACAACGAAAGCTGAACTAGGTAGTTCTGACTTCTGATTCTGGCTGTACGCTGTTCGCGCCGATCCTGATGAGGCGAGAGGCGGGCAGTTGACGCTGATTTCCTCCCGGTCGATGTTGCCACGTCCTTGGTGCATTTTTGTTTTGAAACTGATTGGGAAACAAGCGCTTCCAATTTTTGATTTTTTTTTTGCAATAGTAGTAGTTTGAAAAAGGTGCGTTTCTAATATGATGATATAATACTGCGTGACACGAATTCGCTACTCATCAAAGTTGCAGTGGATGACTTTCCTGATATAACATATTGTTTCAACTCCTTTTTTAATCGATTCCCCTTATGTCCATTTTAATAAATATTCGGATTAGCAAGTGGCTGAAAGATCTGCAGAAAGAATTATTAGATCATATTTTGGAGACCATACTTGGATTTCTTAGACAATATTACTTAGGAATAGAAGTCTTCCAAAAAAAGATTCTAAAAACATTGCTTAAAAAACAAAATTATATCCCAATGATATCAAACAATAGTCACAAATTGTGGGACCGGAATACTAATTTCCAATAACAGAAGTAGCGAGACAATACATTAGTCGCCAAAACGTTGAATTTCACACTATTTCCGAAAATTCGAACATGCATGCTTCTCCAGACCGAACCATCTTACCTAGGACTTTTAACAGTCTCATGCCTTCATCGGTATTCATCAGAAAAAGGTAGAGCCCAATCTGAGACATGAGCCGCCCTGCGGTATGGTCAATTTTGGGTCAAAATTTCGAAAATAGGAGCCAAAGGCCTAATCGACCAATTTTAAAGGCGCTGATACAAAATTAAATTTGGTATATTTATACGCGTCCAACCCCAGTGATTCCACGCACATGTTAGGCATATTTCACTCATCATAGATGTCCCCACACATGGACATTCCAAATATAAAGATTCTTCTTTCTGCAAGGGGCACAGACAAATCTTCTATCTAAAGCACCAATAAACTTTATGTGCAATAATGCGAATAGGATTTGGACTTTTGTGGTATCTTCAGTTGTGGATTTCAGGAATTAATAAGTGCTATACGCTCACATCTTTGAATTTTCTTTACCCCTTTCACTATGTGTTTTTGTTTGTTATATCATGTGTGAACCTTACATGATATAGCTATACATATTTGTATTTTTTTCCTATTATCTATGAATCATATTCACAGTTTTTTTTCTTTCTACTTAAAGCGCCTTTCTCTTTTTTGCGTTTTTTTTTTTCACTTTATGGTACACAGCCTGTGTAAATTAAACCATTGTACTACGTATTGCTCTCTAAATGGTATCTTGTACTGTTTGGCAATAAATGCTTTATTATTATTATTACTATGCATGGTAAAGGTTAACATCGTCCTTCGGGCGGGTTTGGTCATTGCAACGAGCATTTGCGCCCGCAGCAATTCCTCTCAGGGGGAGGAAGGTCATTTAATTTTTTGTTATAAGGTACCTGAGGGTATTAACGCCCACTTAACAAACTTTTTTCAATCTGTTGCACCATCAAACACTAAGAGAACTTTGCCAGGTGGCTTAAAACTGGCAAGGTGCTTTATAAAATCAACAAAGAGTTAGGTGGTCATGCATATAACCTTTAGGGGACATCCTCACTATACTGCCCGTTGGCAAATGGTCACAATATTCTGGCTTAGCTCTTTTACCCTTTATAAATCATCATTATTGGAATTGGATTACCAATGGCGGATACACATACCACCACGATAACATTTTCGGCATATTCATTTGAGACAAAATGAACCCTCTTCACACCTCTTTGTGCAAGAACGGTAGGTTGATGATAGGGTCAGACGGCAACCTCTCTCATCCATATTGAAGATTTTCTCAGGTTTGTGTTTTAACTTCAATTTATCTAATAAGTTACCAATTTTTTTGAAATGGTCCTCTACTATGAACTTATTCAGTTTTTGCGCTCTTGCTTGATTCATAAATTGTGCTTTCCTTTTTGATACAATAGGGTTTCTTTTTCAGAAAGATTTCATCCAATCCTTTCCTGTTTTTTGGCTTTTTGTATTGAAATTATTTGGGATGTTGTTTATTTCACATAACTTGAAAACATTAAAACGTAACGTTTTCAATGTAAGCGGCAACCCTATATCGGCCAAACGCAGAATCCTTTGCACTAGATCTTTCTCTTGTTCTGTATTTAACACGGCTCTTCGGCCAAATCTTTTAACGCATTTTCCGGGTTTGAGATGATCCCAAAGTGTTCTTCTGGGAATATGATATCTCTCCGACGCAGCTCTCTGAGTTAAGATCCCGCTTGATACTGGCAGAATGGCTGCCTCCATATTCGCTTCGTCCCATCCTACACCTCTTTATCGGACTGGCGTCGACGATTTCTTTTCCATGCCTAATCGCTTCTGAAATAGTTTAAAAATATCATGTTTTCATTTGTTTAATAACGCCCGCTTAGGCTGTTTAATAACGCCCACCCATTTGGCTGGGCGTTGTTACACGCTCCACTACTTAAAACAAAAATAGCCAATTCAAGAAAAAAAACAGAACTATTAGCTATTCGCTTGTCGTAGACCTTAATCATTACGTGTGCAAAATAACAACCATTTATCATGCTAAAATACAAATTTACTTACTTATTTGCAGCACCTAATTTTATAAAATGGATCGCACAACCACCTATTTTGTATGCCTGGTTTTAACTGACTGCGCAAACTCGCTAATGGCGTCGACTATCACTGTCTTCGCCTTACTTTTACTTACTTATTTGCAGCACCTAATTTTATAAAATGGATCGCACAACCACCTATTTTGTATGCCTGGTTTTAACTGACTGCGCAAACTCGCTAATGGCGTCGACTATCACTGTCTTCGTCTTACTACAGTCGAGTATAATCAAATCAAATCCAAGCGAATAACCAAAATTTCTGTGTTATGTGCCGCGGTTATAATATGGTTCAAGATGACACACGGGTTGATGACGTCAGTTACACGAATCGCTTGAACGCGTTGGTTTTAACCGCGGTTTTGTTGCAAGTTGTTTATTTTAGAAAAGTGCGTATATAATCTCTGATTATATTTATTATCATTTAATAATGGGTAATTTATTTTCTACAACGGTGTATGGAAAGTTTAAATAAGAAACCTTTCATAATATTCATGGGAGAAATGTTTTTTTTTTCAGAAATTTTTAATGATGTAACCATGGTTTTGTAGCTATGATAACTTTCAATTCTCTAAAGTTTTCCTCATGTCAAAGAAAGCATTTATTGATTTAGCAGAAATGATGAAAAAGACGATGAAAAAGGATATTAGCAAAACCGTATACAGGTGGACATCATCCAGTGAGTTAAATGGCCATATTTTAATATTCTTGTGGTATATGGCTACACGGGATACTTTGTTAAACATAGGAACTAGATTGAAAGTGTTCCCAACAACAGTAATGAGTATAACTAATAATGTGCTCCACTTTATGCTAACACTGAAGTCAGCCTGAATCAAGTTTCCCAAAAATGAAGCTGAAGTACAATAACAATATCCAATACCCGGCAAAATTCTAACTTGTCACATTTCAAATAATAACCAGAAATATAAAACTACTCGAGTTGGGTAAATACCACAATTTTGCGGTGATAACTGTGACATTTAACAGCTGATTCATGACGTCACGGATCTTATATCCAAACTGATAACCACACTCGCTTGAACGGATCGGTAAATACCAACCCAAAATGGTAAATACCATTTTCATTTGGTTATCCGCTTGAATTTGATTTATGTTCCTTCTAACCTAGGTTAGCTTCAAATAATCCAGTGCAAAGCGCCAAATTTAAAAACGGGCGTTATTAACCACCGGGCGTAATTGCCCGCACCTACCTTACATGTTCGTAGATCTTTTTTCTCAGAAGGGCTAACACTTGTGCCAAGCATAATCCTTCACCAACTGATGACACCATAGCGGTGGAAGAACAAAGACAAATTTCTTAACGCCATTTTTTTGTTCCAGAAAGTATTCGAATAAATTGTTAGCACAATGAAGCAGTGAAAAATTTCGAACAAATCAATTTTGACTGAAATATCTATTTAACAAGATCTCACACCACAATCGATTTTGATTTCCTTAGACAATTCTACTTCGGATTAGTGATATGCTATGGGGTGTAATTCTTTCCAATGACAGGAATAGGGAAAAAAATGGAAAAGTTACCTCCATAGGTACTCTCAAGAAAAAAAAAATGAGCCCGCTGAGCCGCATTATGGAATTTTGATCCTACTGTTTTTTTTCTTTGCAAGTGAGACAGCAGAGTACGGATAAGCATACTTTGATTAGAGATAAGCCAAAATGAACAGACAATTTGTGTGGTAAGTCAAGTTTACGATATCTTCCTGCCCTTAATTGATCCTGAAAACGTCATTTTACCTCTCCTGCATATAAATTTTGCTTAATCAAGACTTCTGTGAAGGCAATGGATAAGAAATAGGAACAATTTTTATATTTAAGGTATGTTTTTCCAAAGCTAGAAGTAACTTTTCTTGTCCACAAATACGTCAATTAATGAAACACCAAAATTTCGATCAACAGCTAAATTACAAAAAATTATATGCTTGTGGAAACTACTAAAGGCTGTGATGAAAGGCTTTTTGGTAATTACAGGGACTACAGCGATACCGATAATGGTATGGTAACCAGAAATGCTTTCCCAAACTTGTTTTCCCCACCATTTTTGTCTTTGGAAGCATAGCAAACTTCGTTTTCCTTAGGTTCCTCAACTCTAAAACGTAGCAATATTTTTTTTGTAGATTCATAAATTGTAATATCGGACAAAAATTGTTTTCAAATCCTATTGAAGAGCAGAAGGCTTGCAAATTGCCTCAGGGTTGCGCGGCAGATCCTAAAAATCCTCAATATTGTTCACAATTCTATGTTAAGTATGCAAATTTCCAGCCGCCATACCCATTATGCCCGAGCAGGCAGCGACAAGTGAATAGTAGCAGCGATCAGATGCCCAAGTTTATGTTGACGGGAGCAGATGTCTGTCAGTGCTGTCAGATCAAAAATGTAAAATGCAGAAGATGGTATACGTGACGTGACCGACCTTTAAAATGTATTAGATTCCCTAAATTACCGGTAGAGCTATTACAATGCATCACGTAACGGCGAAGGGGGTGGAGAGTGATATGTGAGCGCTTACCTAAGCAGTCCGATGCTGAAAACTGAAGAAAGTACTTATAAATTGAGCGTTTTGCGGTAGAGATACCAAGACCGAAAACGGTAGATCTACAGTAAAATATGTGCGTCTGGCAACAACGCTCCTGTTAGTATGAAACCGCCATCCCCAACTCCCTATTCCCGCGCAAAGCTGGTTCGCTGGTTGTTCTCGCTGCCCCTTCCCTCTCAAGGCTTGCATACTAACCAAAGCCGGATGAGTGAAATGGCGCAGACGCAGTTAGGCAATGGGTAACAACAAAACGGAGCCACGAAGAGGGGACCAAAGGATCGTGCGGCGGTGTTGCCACGCGCGACTATTTTTAGCAATTCGTTCCCCGCACTATACACCATATTATGCTGACCAGTTTAACGGACTAATACAGGTACTTTTTTGATGGGAGCAATAAATATTTTTTCATATTCACCAAGTTAGCTCAATTCAATTTCAGGCGGATAAGAAGTTAACCAGACAAAATTTCAAAAAGAAGAGGTTCTTTTAAATATGTATAAAAAAGAATAGATGTCGTTTCTATGAGTAAAACCGTTTTTGAAGGATCTTGAAAACCTTCCAGAACCGTTAGATAATAATCCCCACAATTCTATCTCAAAAAAGAAAGAGCAGATTTTAATAGCACTTGGCTTTTTTTGCTAATGGATCATTCGGAATCAATGTTGTGTCATTCATATTCCATAGTTTCTCGAGTTGTTAAGCGCGTTCAGCCAAAGTAAAGCGGCCCAGCGCTTTTATGTGCGGTTCTTAATCTGACAAAGCTACCCCATAGGGTAACTTATCTTTAAAAAATCGGTGAGTTGAGGTAAGTAAAAGCTTAAGAATAAAGACTGCACTTTTGGTCCAAGCTATCCACTCCACCTTTAGTAGTGTTGTAAAAACTGATAATTTCTGGCTTACCAGTCTCAACATCGGTATTTTTATTGTGGTGCATGGAAGAGATCATTATTACTGCTCTATTTTTTTTAGGTACAAAAGATAACATGGTTGTATCAGTAGTAAATGCATAGATGCTGGAACCAATCTCTCTTTTTCTATTTGGCAAAAATGTAGGAGGAATCTCACCTTTATTTTTTAAGTGTTCCGATAAAAGTTAGATTTTTAGTTTTCAGAAAATTTACCAGCTCGTTTGAGGAAAACCATTTATCGGCTGTAAGATTTCTGTTTGTGTTATAAATAGGTTTGGCAAGTCTGAGTACCGCCTGAGTGGGTTTCGAGAATTTTCGTTCCTCATCTGTTAACAGATAGCCATCAGAATTCTTTCCAGAATATATATAAGCATTCAAGAGGTATCCAGTTGTGGCAATCCGTTAGACACATAACTTTTAGACCATACTTGCAGGGTTTGGCTGGCATGAACATTTTAAACTTGCATCGACCGCGAAATGCAACGAGCATTTCGTCGATACAAGCACATGTTCCTATAGTGTAAGCCTTTTGGCAATTTGTTACAAAGTTATTAAATATTCCTGAAATAGCTACTAATGGATCTTGATTTCTACGCTCTTCCCTAGTTTCGGCATCATCGAACCTGAAACAAGAAAGAATTATTGAAAATCGGTTCACATTCATCACGCATCGGAAAATTTCTCGTCCAGAGCCATCTTATGTCCTCATGGTTGGATCTAAAAATTAGCTTTAAGTTCCATACGATCCAAATCACGAATATCGAAGTTTTTTGCTGCATTTTTGTATTTTTGACGCATTTTCATCAATCTTGCATTCTTGAATTGAAGAATGACATTCAGAATTTGCTCATTGAATAAAAGACTCCATACTTGCTCAGCATCAGCGCTGTAGATGTCATTTCCTTTAAGTCCTGGGCATTTAACAACAATGTTGTGTTGTAACGTGCGTGTATTCTTGGGAACTGGAGAATCCTTGAACCATTTAAAGCGATTCTTACCATAAACGTAGTTGCCACTGGGAACATTTTCTGGATTTTCTATTTCACCTAGATTTTCGTTATCCTCTTCGTCGAATTCAACCTCCGACTCAGTGTCATGATCCGATATCGCTTCCATCAGAATCGACTTCCTATGGCCGTTTCAGTAAAGTAGCTTCAAAATCAACATCTCCATATTTTACTCTCTTTGAGGGCCCAGGATTAGAATCCATACTCAATTTATAAGGCTAAAAACATCAGAAAAATAATAATTCAGCATATCCAAATTATTTCGTTAATACAGGCCTCCGGTCTTTTTTACCGGTTGTGAACTTTGAACTACGATATTTCGCTTGCTTCGAGTAATACAGTCTCCATCCACTGGCTAATAGCATCAAACTATATAAGTGTTACGAAGGTACGTAGAACTTCAGGTCTTACCACGAACTTGAAATAAAAATAAACCTGATGAAACAAATGAAGAACAGGGTTATAAAAATCTCTGACAGTACTTTCCATCTTTCCAATTTAAGGAAGCTTTCAGTCTTATTTATCAACAATCGCTATCCTAAGTATTTGGTTAACAGAATCTTGTTCAGCTCTCCTCCGAATATTTTGCCGATGACGAATAACAATAGTGAAAATGACAACACTGTTCAGTCCAACCAGATACCCATGAATTCTTCAATCAATGAGAATAACAGCACTACAGTGGTTGCTCCTATTTCCAGAGTTAATTATGTTGTCTTGCCATACATCAAAGAACTAACACCAAAATTGATCAGGCTGTATAATTCCTTTAATTGTCGTTTTGCTTGTAAATCAGTGCTCACAGTCAACAGTTTGTTGTCCAAAATGAAGGATAAGGTTCAATTGCTTGATTCAACCAACACTGTCTATCGCATTAATTGCAACAACTGTAATTTAGTTTGTATAGGCCAAACTTCTAGGTCGCTGAAAGGCAGGATAACTTCACACAAAAGTGACGCCAGATTACATCCAGAGATATGTGCTTTGGCATCTCATATTAACAACACAGGTCACTCTATGAATTATGGCAGTATTGAGGT